CAGTATCCCCCCAAAAATGGGCGTGTCCCCCAAAAAATGACCGTATCTCCCAAAAATTACCGTATTTCCCAAAAAATTATTGTATTTCCTAAAAAATTACCATATACTCCACAAAAGTTACCATATACAGCCCAAAAATGAATGTATTCCCCCAAAAAGTGGGCGTGTCCCCCCAAAAATCGCAGTATCTCCCCAAAATTACTGTATTTCCCAAAAAATTACCGTATTCCCCCCAAAAATCACAGTATCTTCCAAAAAATTACCATATACTCCAAGAAAATTACTGTATGCCCCCAAAAATTACCGAATTTCCCCAAAAAGTGGGCGTGTCCCCCCAAAAATCACAGTATCCCCCCAAAAATGGACGTGTCCCCCAAAAAATCACAGTATCTCCCCAAAATTACTGTATTTCCCAAAAAATTATTGTATTCCACAAAAAATTACCATATTTCCCCCAAAAAATTACCGTATTTCCCCCAAAATTACCATATACAGCCCAAAAATGAATGTATTCCCCCAAAAAGTGGGCGTGTCCCCCCAAAAATCACAGTATCCCCCCAAAAATGGACGTGTCCCCCCAAAAATCACAGTATCCCCCCAAAATTACCGTATTTCCCAAAAAATTACCGTATACTCCACAAAAATTACCGTATACCGCCCAAAAATGAAAGTATTGCCCCAAAAAGTGGGCGCGTCCCCCAAAATCAACGCGCCTGCCCCAAAGTGGGCGTGTCCCCCCAAAAAGTGGGCGTGTCCCCCAAAAAGTGGGCGTGTCCCCCGCAAAGCGCGCCGTCCGCCGCCGATAAAAGCCGGGGCGCGGCGCCACCGCCGGCACCGATGGCGGCCATGGCCCCCGAGCGCGGCGCCGGCGCCGTCCTGGCCCTGCTGGCCCTGCTGGCCGTGCCCGGTGCGCCCCGCCCTCCCTCCCCTCCATAAGCCCCTCCCCCTCCTCATTACCATCTCATTAATATTCATCTCCCTCGTTCCCGCAGGGCTCCGGGCGGCCGTGACCCTGCTGGAGTCCGGGGGGGACCTCCAGCCCCCCGGCGGGTCCCTGCGCCTCCTGTGCCGGGCGGGCGCCGGCGCGGCGCCGGCGGCGCTGGTGTGGGTGCGGCAGCGCGCCGGCGCCGGGCTGGAGGCGCTGGGCGGCGCCGGGAGGTTCACGGTGAAGGTCGGTGGTGGTGGAGGGCGAGGAGGAGGTTGGGCGGTGTTGGAAGGGGAACGGCTGGAGGACGGCGATTCCGGCGTTTATTTCTGCGGCGCTCACGGCGGCGCCGGGCGGGGCGCGGCGGTGGCGGGAAACCGGGGTGGGGGGGGTTGGTCGCGGTTGGGTTGGGTTGGGTTGGGTGGAAGAGGAAGAGGGGGTTGGGTTGGTCACGGTTGGGTTGGGTTGGGTTGGGTTGGGTTGGGTTGGGTGGAA